TATTATTTGCACCTATGTCTAGCTGTATGTCAGGTGTAAATATTTCAACAGGTAGAGATGTGCGTCATGTGTGTGCTTGTATAGTCTCTGTTCCCATATGTATATATATGTATATATTCCTCGTATCTGTATGCATTTCGCTATTTGCATACATATGAATATTATGGCGTGTGTGTATGTGTGTGTGTGTGTGTGTGTGTCAGAAATATCAGCACAGTTGCAGGAATCAATAACATTACCTGTGCTGTCAGTGTGGCGATGGACGAGGTCAGATTTAGCTTTGTTTGTGACTGTGTCTGACATCTCACCCCTGACCTCTCACTACAGTGGAAAGAGCCCGTTGTGTTATTAAACCCCGTTTGTGTAGTTGTAGATATGGGTTATATAGAAAATGATTGGTCGGTATGTGTGTGTGTGTGTGTGTGTGTGTGTGTGTGTGTGTGTGTGTGTGTGTGATATTTCGCTCCCTTTGTATTTGTTTATTGACCTACAGGATAGCCTTTCACCTATGGCTGTAGTGGGGAAGAGGTTTTGTGTTATTAATTCCCGCCTGTGTAGTTGAGGGTGTACAATAGGTTATATGGAGAAGTGTGTGTGTGTGTGTGTGTGTGCGGGTGTTACACTATGTGGATCAGTAAGATATTCGTCCTTAGAGATACAGTATGTGGTGGGGAGAGGGTCACACTATGAGAAGGTCACATCAAGCTCCAGGTCGCTATAGTTGGTTTATAGTATGCGGGAAGGGTCATGTGATGATGACCTCACGCTATGTTGAGTCAATAGGCAGGGCGTCACACGGTGTGGGGTTATGAAGAGAGGCTTACACACCATGTTTGATCATATAATTTAGATGTTACATTAGCCCAGTTCACATTATGTTAAAATACACTGTGGACGGGGTCACACCATGCTGAGTCACACCATTGATATTAACACATCACTTGTGAGTTTGTATCCTGCAAGAGACACACCTTGTAACGAACACACTATGCTGGTGTTATATCGTACAGAAACAGGCTCACCAAGGTCACAGTAAGTGTTGTGCCACCAAGACAGCCACATCAGTCGATCACTACACCGCGTGCAGCTATCCACTAACCATACCATGAGTGACCGATACCCCTGTCAAGATCACACCTTGTGTACGTACGTCACCCCATATAAAGATACTCCTGAACGGGTATATTTTGTCTCCGAAACACACACACACACACACACACACACACACACACACACACACACACACACATATCTTCACTGACCCATTGAGGTTATTGTCATGGAACACCATCATCAGGTCCCCGGAGGCTTACCTCAAGTACACACCATGGCGCTTGATGGCCCCTGTTGTCAGAGAAATTGTGGCAGAGTATCAATCTTGTCTCGTGTCCTGCTGTTGTTGTCAGAGAAGTGGTGGCAGGGTGTCAATCTTGTATAGTGTCCTACAACTGTTGTCAGGGAAAAGGTGGTAGAAAAGTGGGAACACTCGGTGCAAGAGTATCACTGTTGTCAGAGAAGTGTTGGCAGAGTGTTGTCAGTTCCCGTCGTTGTAGTGGCACCAACCAGTGAAGGAAAACGTGGATCGTAAACTAACTCCCGGTAAAATGCTCGACTTATTGGCATGCAGGGTGCGGGGAGGAGAGGACAATTTAGCAGAAAATACGTGAGGGTGGAGGACAATTTGGCACGAAAGGGCGTGAGTGAGCAGGACGATTTGGCGGGAAATTACGTTAGAGTGGAGGACAAGTTGCGAGGAAAACATGAGTGTTAAGGACAATTTGCCGAGGAAATGCATGAGTATAGAGGTCAGTTTGGTGGGGGGGAGGGTGGGGGGAAGACTTGACTGTTGAGGACGATTTAGGGAAATAGATGAGTGTGGAGGGAGGAAGGGAGGGAGTGTGGACAAGGCGGGATATTTAGCGGCGCTACCCCACCTCTCCCTAGCCTCACCCCTTTAGTCCCCAGAGCTGGCGGGGCCACGTTAAATATGGAGCTCCACCCCACACTGGCCTTCCCAAACGCTGATCGCTGCTGCTGCTGCTGCTGCTGCTGCTGCTGCTCATAATTTGCTGTTGATGATGTTGCTGTTATTATTGGTGCAGGTGTTGGCCGAGGGGGGGGGGGGGCGAGAGGGATGGTGTTGCTGCTCATCTTAAAGGCGCTGTTGCTGTTCCTGACTCCACTGCTACTGGTGGTGATGGTGATAATGGTGATGGTAATGATAGTGAAGATAGTGGTGATAACGATTATGGTGACGATAACTGATGATAATGATAATGATGTGTAAGTGATTATGATAACGATAAGGTGGATGAATGTGATGATGACGTCGACAATGATGATGAAATTATCGACGGTGAGAACCTTAAATTCACAGACATCACTGTACCTGTTCTGCATATATAAATAGCTGGTTGTACTTATATTCAAATCGGTATTTACTTAAATCGGTACTATACTATTCTTATACAGTACTTAAATCGGTACTATAATACCCTCGTACTTACATTTAAATCTAAACTTATCTTTCTAAGCAGAAAATCTTTACTCTGACATATATACTTACATAACACCTGTACATGGAAAGAGATACTTTTTTTATTCCCCTCAAAAGGAGTAAAGTTTAGAGGGGGTATACTGTATAGCAGTGATAATTATGAAGTTGGTCTGTCAGTCAGTAACACGTTTGGTCTTTGCTCAATGACTTTCACTTGATTTAGTGGGTTGAGTTATAGCCAATATCTAACTAATGTAACCTATCCTAACCTAACCTAACCAAATCTAGCCAAACCCAACATAACACAACGCAACACAATGTAACATAACCTAACCTAACTTAAAAATACGCGATTCTACCATAAACAAAACCATCCATCAATATTATATATATAAAAATATTAAAATACTCACCAGTCTACCTATGGGCAAATACTAATGACTCTCACTCGTGCTAAAAGCCCCAGGTGAAGCAAGACTCGGGGAAGCCTCACAAATTGGGGTTTGGTATTATTAAAAGGGAAAATGTTGTTTTGCCATTAATATAGACCCGGAAGGCAGTTAGGGGTGGGGAGTCATGTGGGGTGGAGAGTCATGTGGGGTGGGGAGTCATGTGGGGTGGGGAGTCATGTGGGGTGGAGAGTCATGTGGGGTGGAGAGTCATGTGGGGTGGAGAGTCATGTGGGGTGGAGAGGGGAGGATTTAGGTCCTAGGGGTGGTAGGGGTGAGAGCAGGGAGGTAGAAATGGAAAGTTTGTGTGTGTGTATTTTTGTGCAGTGTGTGTTTTTTAAGCTTATATGTTTGTGAGGTGTTTGTGTATGTGTTTATGCAGTGTATGTTTTTGAAGCTTATATGTTTGTGAGGTGTTTGTGTATGTGTTTATGCAGTGTGTGTTTGTATATTTGTATATTATGTATGCATGTTTGTGAAGTTGTGTTGTATAAGTGCCCGTCTAACAGACAGTAATACTTATATAAATGTGGGTTACATACATTAGGTTTATATAATTACATCACCCACAGTAACTATGAGCCGTGAGTAGTCATCCACCTGACAGGTGAGAGTGTGTTCCCACTGTGCCCTCACACCTTGACCGTAGAGTCATCAATTAAGTAGCCGGCTGTCGCCAGTTCTACTCCCGTCTGTGAGCCACTGAGACGTCTGCTCTAAGAAGCTAGTTATACCTAAGCTTCGTCCCTTATTAACGCTCACAGCTGATAGTGTTAATTATGGTGATATCCCAGTTATTGTGCAATAGTTTATTTTCTTAATAAATGGAGGAAAGACCATTAGGGTTTGAAAACTTAACCCATAAACATTTATGAATGTTGCTTCCAGTTCACCTCTAATTAGTGAGTCCAACAGGTAACCGGAAACCGCACCATAAGGTGGCAGCAGTTAACTGTATGTTTGTGAGGCGTGTGTGTGTGTGTGTGTGTGTGTGTGTGTGTGTGTGTTTGTGACGTGTTTATGTGAGACGTATACATTTGTAAGATGTAGTGCTGTGGTCAGCACACTCTCCTCAAGAGAATGGTCACACGGAGGATCCCCAGGCAGGGTGAAACTAGGGACAAGTTTAATTTCGCCATTTGCCTCTGTCTACCAACAGTAATTGGGAACCTAGATGTTAATCGTTTTTACTACACTGTTCTTCACTTCAGCATCTAAACTCTACCAAGGAAAGACTTCAGAACTTACTACTATTATTATTCTATGTAACTTCATATCAGTCGTGAGAACTGTAATGTAATGTAAATCAACTGTAAATGGCTTGTTATTTAATTGTTTATCATTTACACTTGTCATCCTGAGGTTAAATGTCACTTGTCTGTCTGCCCAACATCCTGCTGACTCCAGTTACCATTTAAATAGTAATAGTAGATTAAATGACTTGGGGGTGTAATAACTTGCAATTTTCACCCACGGTCCGGCGGTGCTTAGATTAAATGCCTCCGCTCTCAAAATCTTGTTAACACAACGCTGCCATTTAACTTGGCCTTTGTGGAATGTTGATAATTTAAAACAAAACAAAATTTAAAACAGATAATGAAGTAAGGGATTATAATTTATTTTAAAACTTCAAGAAAATTGTGTTACAAAAGCATTGTTTTTATTTAATCAAATTGATGTTCACAAAGAGATGGCATATATAAAAAGAAATAAATGTCATTCACATGTAAACTTAATAAAACCGCAGATAGATAGATAGATAGATAACTGTGAAATAAACACCTTAATATAATATAGATACGGATAGATAGATATGGATAAATAAGAAGAGAGATACACGATAGATAGCATTAGGTCAAAATTTCCTACAGGTAAATAATGTTGACCCAGGGAGATCATCAGAGGTCAGCCAGGATCATGACCTTTCAGCAGGACTCGTCATTAGGCTGGGACAACGACCATTACCAGAGAGAAACTTGACCGTATGATCTTTGTGTGTTTTTTTACATCAGCAGGTAATGGATCTTTGTGTTGATTGGTTCCTGCTGTGGTTGTTTACATCATCAGGTAATGGATCTTTGTGTTGATTGGTTCCTGCTGTGGTTGTTTACATCAGCAGGTAATGGATCTTTGTGTTGATTGGTTCCTGCTGTGGTTGTTTACATCAGCAGGTAATGGATCTTTGTGTTGATTGGTTCCTGCTGTGGTTGTTTACGTCAGCAGGTAGTAGGAGTGACATCCTATTCTTAATGACTTTTATACTTCTTCAGAAAATCTTCAACCTCGTTCATCTGAGGAAAAATAAGGTTAGTTTAGGCTAGGTTGGGTTAAGTTAGGTTAGGTTAGGTTAGGTTAGGTTAGGAGTAATAATTCAGATATACAGTAAAAAAAAATATATTGTTTGATGATTATAGTATTTTCAGATGCATAAGATATCACGCCATGAATCATTTTACCTTTATTAAGATTTAGAGAGAACAGTTTACAGCGAATAGTGAAACACATTCTATATATCATATCTCCCCCAGCCTGTGATCTCTCTCCCCTCTGTAGACCAGGGCCGTGTACTTGAAGGGTCTCTTGTGTACTATATAGGTCTTCCTCGCACATCTATAAAACGTATCGTGGACGATAAAGGTTTTTGTGTATCTGTTAAGAGGATGTGAGGGTCACTGTTTACCTACTTGTTTTATTTAATTCTCCGTCTCTTTTGTAAAATTGTCTAGTACTTGAAGGTTTCTGGTAGAATTTGTAAAGTATTTCTTGTTTTCTCTACAGATTTACTCGTTTGAAAGGTCTTTGTACATCCTTCAGACAACAGGGGGTTACCAGTCACTTTACAGAGCTCCTTATCTTATATTTAGTACACAGCTCCCTATCTTATCTATAGCCGGACCCTGTAGTCAAAAGGCCATTCCTATCCTTGTAGAGGAAGTCGAAAGTTCCCTGTCTTCTTCTGTAGAACTCCTGTTTTGTAGACTTACCTTGTACTCGAAAGGACCCCTCCCACCCTTGTAGAACACGACACCGTCTTGCACTATGTAGAGCCGTTCTGGGAGGGCCGCGTACTGCTTGCTGGCGGCGTCATCTAAGCGGTCTACCAGCACCTCGCACTCCTGGGGTGAGAACTCCAACAGCTTCTCTGCTGCCGCATACCTCTCCTCCAGGGACCTGCCCGGGGGAGTCTAGTTCTTATCCTTTACAGCACAAAGGATGTCTTAACTGACACTATAGGACATGGTAGATACCTTAACTGACACTATAGGACATGGTAGATACCTTAACTGACACTATAGGACATGGCAGATACCTTAACTGGCACTATAAGACATGGCAGATACCTTAACTGACATTATACGACATGACAGATACCTTAACTGACACTATAGGACATGACAGATACCTTAACTGGCACTATAGGACATGACAGATGTCCTTTGCAGACAGTTTGGACACAAGTAATGGGAGAATGAATACATTGAGGTACTGTATAGTAGACACTGTACTGTATTACACTGTACTGTATTTCCAGAACACCATGCTGTATTTTCCTGTATTATGTACACTGTATTTTAGTATGATCGTATTTTATTATCTAGCATCGTAACGTGATTTATTTTATATGTTTATACTTAGTTGCATCACACTGTATTGTACTGTATTACCTTACAAGGGCATCTTATATTAGTGTATAGCAGTACATAGCATCACACTGTATTGTATTATCTTACAAGGGCATCTTATATTAGTGTATAGCAGTACATAGCATCACACTGTATTGTATTGTATTATCTTACAAGGGCATCTTATATTAGTGTATAGCAGTACATAGCATCACACTGTATTGTACTGTATTATCTTACAGGGCATCTTATAGTAATGTATAGAAGTACATAGCATCACACTGTATTGTATCCTGGCAGGTACAGGTATGAGACAGGTAAATGCACTCACCTGTGATTGGCCACCTCCACGTTTCCCTCAAAGACCCAGCCATCAGTAGGGTGAGCCTCAGCGGTGTACACCACCACGAAGTCTGCCACGCTCGAGTACCTCTCCCTCAACTGCCACCACCAGAGTGACGTCATTAGTATGGTGATATGACGTCAGTAGTGTGGTGATATGACGTCAGTAATATGGTAATATGACGTTAGTAGTGTGGTGATATGACGTCAGTAGTTGGGAATGACGTCTGCTATGTGGTGATATGACGTCAAAGTAAATGACAGCAGTGGCTATAGCCACCTCTCATAACAACCAAATCCCCCTCCCCCCTCTCACTTTCTCACCTTGCGGAAGAGATCGAGGTTGGCCACAAACGGGGGTCAGGTGCAGGAGCCGAAGTTAATCACCAGAGGCCTACCTGACCTCGCCATGTCCAGGAGGCGAGAGACTGACCTGTCCCTCAGCCTCATCACCTCGGGGTTAGGGGCCACCTCTCCCATCTCGGCCGACATGTTCACCTCCCACCACACGCTGACGAGAAACAAAAAAGATCTCCAGTTTAGGAAAATTTAAATAAAATGGGACACGCTCCTTAGGGTCAGTTCTGTATCGAGTGAGGAAAATGGAAGAGAAATTGTGACGTTATCATCTGTATTGGCTTTGTGCCGGTTAGAAAAATGTAGGGAAAATTTAGCATTATTACAAGAAATAGAAATAGTTCTGTACTGGTTTGGGAACATATAGGAGAACTGGGATAGTACACCTCAGGATTACTTCTGTAAATATGACGTTTGAGGATGACCTGATCACGAAATCTGAGTTTGAAGAGTTCCACAACAATTTAAATGATGCGTTTCTTAATGCACGAAGAAAGAACATACCATACAGAAAATTCAGATCAAATAACAATAACCCTAAATGGATAAATAATTATAAGTATTTAAAGAATATTATTGAACAAGGGAAGGCTATAGGTAGGAGAATAAATCGTGGTGAAGTTTGCCTCCGAGATTATTATAAGGTATTGTCCAGTAGGATTAAGGCAGAGATAAGGAAAGCAAAGAGGAATAATGAACTGAAGGTAGCAAGAGAGGCGAAGTCAAACCCCAAGGGATTCTTTCATTGTATCAAACTAAGTTTAGGTTTAGGAGGGAGATAGGAAGGAACTGGTTTACAAATAGGGTGGTGGACGTGTGGAACTAGCTTAGCAACTTTGTAGTAAGTGCTGGAACGCTGGAAAGTTTCAAAGGGAGGCTGGATAGATTCATTGATGATAGAGAGTGGTAGTAACTCTCGACAGGAGCTGCCATGCACAGGCCAACCGGCCTATTGCAGACTCCTTGTTTTCTTATGTTCTTATGTTCTTAAAACACAAGAAAAGATTGGAGAAATACAGTCAGATACCGGCGAGCTAACTGTTAACGGCGGATAAATAAGCAATAATCTAAACAAATATTTTTCAACAGTTTTCACCACCGAGAGCATGATACCCGAGGCACCGACTATATGCAGAGATAGTGAAGAAAATAGAATATGCGAGATAGTAGAGACTAGTAACGATGTTAGTAAGCTAATAGACAAGCTAAAGCCTAATAAGTCACCTGGTCCCTATAAGATATTTGCCAAAGTATTAAAGGAATGTAAGGAAGGGCTTTAGTATGTCCTTAACAAACTTGTTTAACATGTCATTAAAAACCGATGTAGTACAAGCATCCTGGAGCATAGTGAATGTGATACCGATTTTCAAGAAGGGAGATAGATCACTATCCTCTAACTACCGTCCAATCAGCTTAACATCACTTGTAGGCAAATTATTGAAGCAATAATTTCAAACTCTATTCGAAATCACCTGGAGAAGCACAAGTTGATCAATGATTCCCAACATGGCTTCACGTTTTTTCAGCTGTTTTCGAATCAGTGGATGACGGACACGATTATGATGTGATATACCTCATCTTCAGCAAAGCCTTCGACAGAGTCCCCACGAAAGACTAGTACGAAAAATGGAAGTTCCTAAAATGGATTAGGGCGTGGTTACAGGACAGGAAACAGCGAGTAAGCATTTATGACTAAATCCTATTGGGGTAACGTCACTAGTGGAGTACCCTAAGGCTCAGTACTTGGACCACTACTATTTATTATATACATAAACGACATAGCTATAGGCGGAGACAGCAACATAATAAAATTTGCTGAAGACACTAAAATGGGACGTTTAATTAAATCTGACGAGGACTTCGCAAACTACAGGAAGATCTAAACAAATTTTTCACATGGTCTGAAAAATGAAAGATGAAATTTAATGTGAACTATTGTAAAGTACTTAGTCTAGGGAATGTAAACAGAGAAACCAGTTATCAGATGAATAACGTTGTTTTAGAGAAATCCGACTGTGAGGCATCTTAAACCAAGTCAACAATGTGTATTTGCTCCAAACAAGGCTAGCAAAGAACTTGGGTTCATTCGCAGGAGTGTTAGTTGCAAGACTAGCACGGTTGTGAGGTTATCCTAAAATTATATCTTGTGCTTGTGAGACCTCACTTAGATTATGCAGATCAGTTCTGGTCATCGTACTACAGAATGGATATATAAACCCTAGAAAGAATTCAGAGGAAAATGACAAGACTAATCCCGGGCATTAGGAACCTTGAGTACAGAGTCAGGTTAAGGCATACTGATTATTAAACGTGATAACCTTTACAATCTGAATCCTGTATGTCTCAGCATCGGAAAATACGCCTTTAATATTATGAATGCTTGAGGTGTCTCAGGTAAGGTGTCCGGTGCTTCGCTAGACGTATATCACTTCTTCAGAGTTGTTTTCGAGACCACTATGTCATGAGCATGTCATTCATCATGGAGACGACACAGAGTATGCGTGGAGCGATAATTGCCCTTTACAACGAAGTTAAGGGCAAGGCAGAAATTGCGAGGCGTACTGGCTTGTCCTACAGTACAGTGGCATTGTGGATACGTCGATATGACACTGGCAGCACGGACAACCAGCGTAGGATTGGCCGCCTTCGCTGCACAACAAGACCAGGTTCCCATATCAATTTGTTATACCTCAGTGTTTGTTATATATACTGTGTATGGGTAATCATATTCAAAGTAATGTCGCCGTCTATCCATCACTGGTGCAGGCCATTGCAGCTGCAATCCATGACCGACCATTCATTAGTGGTTCCACTATTGGCGATGACCTTGGTTTACGATGCAGCCATCAAACTATTCGCAACAGACACCGTAGCATGGGGCTGCACGGGCGGAGACCTGCAGTGAAACCCAATCTCACCAACGTAAATATGGTGCAGATGATGGAATACGCGCTGGAGTATGCCGACAAACCGGTTAGCTTCTGGGAGGAGGTCGTTTTCTGTGACGAGAAAACGTTCTCTACCGATGCCCCTACAGCAGCAGGTTTTGTTTGGCGGCAACCAAGCACGAGTACATCGATCAAGCACATCCTCTCTCTTACCAAAATAAATTCCAACTATAATGAAAATTGATGAAGCCTGTGGCACCTATTAGAGATGATAAGCCTATACTACCCTCTAAATGTCAGATATTACGTTTTCATCACTGCATCAAGTCTATCGTTGTCATAATACGAATTACTGTGGTTTTGTGACAATGAACATTTAGAACAAGACGAGCTGGCCGAACTACTTGGTAACCAGCTCCTTGTTATCAAGAAGCAGTATAGCGGCCCTGGTCGGCTACCCCAAGATCCTTCCCCAGGAAGTACGACTTGGAAGAGAACGAGAACCTAAGAACAACAAGACTACGGCAGTAATGACCTATAATGTTGACGGCCAGCAAAACAAAGCAACCAACCAACTGTGGTATTTTAACCCCTGCATGTTTTCTTTATTTCTGCTGCCTGTTTTCTGTCAGTGAATGGTCACCCCCCTCGTTCAACAACAGTAGTCTGGGTAATTACAATTGTGCGGTAATTATTAAAAAAATCATAACTCAATGCATTTAATTGATCTATCTTCAATCATCAGGTTTGGTTTATCCAAGCCTTCATATTACATAATCTGGTTTGCTATTTCATGCGTTATATCGAAGTTTGTTCCTAGATCGAACGCTGTTACCAACCGCTTTATATATTTCTATCTTCAGATTCGACGCCGGTCATGTTGTGGGTTGTGGGAGGAGTGGGGGCGTAACTGCAGGGTTGTTTGCGTGGATGCACACAGGTGGTGTTGGGGCACTCGGGGGAAAAGTATGTTAAAGTGCTTGAGGAGATCATGTTACCGTTGGTGAGGGGCAATGCACCCTGAGCCAGCGCCTCCATACTTCTTCCATGACAACAGTTCCATTCACAACTGTCAGTAAGGCGTGGTTTGAGAAACACCCAGAAATCACAGTGTTGCCACACCCACCCAGATCCCCCTGACCTGAACCCTATCGAACATGTCTGGGCTGCCATGAATAAAGACATCCCACACAACTGCCATGGTAGTCGCGCTACGGTCACCAGTAGCTCCTTGCAGGCATGAGAACACCTGCGTAGCCCGGAGAGACAACAGCTGACGTGAGATGCCACTACTGTTTACCTTACCTATTAATATAACATACCCTGATATCTAATACATGTACGCATGCTAAATGCTATGTATGGATACAGTCAACATGTGTATTTAGTAGTTGTTGTTGTTGTTGTTGTTGCGCAGAGGAACTTTTTTTTTTTTTTTACGGGAATTAGCCCACCCGGGCACAGGTCACTGACCCACATCAGGGCCTGGGGTACGAAAATGTAATAATAACAATGATAGTGATAATAAGAATAATAATAAAGAACCATAAAGAAATGCAAAAGTTAAAAAAAAAATCAAGAGTGAGAAACAGTATATGTATGTTGTGTTGTCAATAGTAAGAGAAACAATTGAGACCCTGCAATTGTGTGTAAATGAGGCAGAAGTCAGTTCAGCAACCTGGGACTTGGTCACAATTTTCATGATGCCATATGGCAGCAGGGTCCACCATTAGACAACACATTATGCTTCCAATATCTTCCCAGGCGGCAGTACCTCCCTGTTTGGTAGCTGCCTACTACCTTCTACCTTTAAGCATTACCACGTACATATTGTTCACTGTATGTGTCCAACTTGGATAATGTCCTTTTAGACTATCATTCCCTGATAATATAACCGTATTAATTATATTCATATGAAACACGTTCATGGCAAACGGTAGGAAACGTCGTATATATTACATGGCAAGCATTGTGGCATGCAGGGCTACCACCTTTACGCCTGGTCATCTACCATTTCCCAAAAACATACCTCCGATGTGTCATATTGTCATGAACAATATATTTCAGATACTTTTTTGAGCGACTGTACCAAGGTAGGAAAACAATGACAATAGAGAATAATTACCAGGATTAATTTTATACGGTGTTAGGGTAAATAGGACATTATCAGCATTACTACAGTACGGAAATAGGAAAATATTGGAAAACAGCACAACATCGTCGACATTAGTGGTGTAACGGAAAGAATTCGAAGTTAGGTATATTTATTAAGAGAGGACTTCTGGTTAGGGGAAAGTGTAGGGAAAATAGGACAATAACAACAGTGATAGTACAATAGCATGAAATGTGCTAGGTCAGGGCAACGTAGATATATGAAATCCAGGAAAATTTCACCTTCATAAGACTGTAACCATAGGACTCCCCCGCTTTAGGAAAACAGATGGATCATAACAGGAAAATGTCACCACTATTTATATCCCCGCGAAGGAAAACCCCATCAACAATTAAAGCATTCAGGAAAATTTATCTCCAAAGAAAAACTTAGGTAGAATGACAAAAAAATTACTAGCATTAATCTACATGAGAGGAAAATAAGAAAAACTTGAGGGCCCTATATCAAGGCAACACATCGACATGAAAACAAGAAAATATCATTTGTGTTGATATCTTTACCTGAGACGAGCCGTGTTAGGCGATGCTCGTTTATTTCTGTTTATAAGTACGATAACGTAAATAAGCTCTGATAACCTTACCACATCAATAGTGTCAACATCCTCTGCCAGTAGAAGCGAGGGTTCCCGACACCACTCTTCATGTAAGTGGCAAAAAGCGGTATCTTAGTATTCCTCAACAAGCTGTAATTCCAGTTAGTTGGACTCAAGACCGCCAGGACAGTCAGGAAAGTGTTCAGGAATACTACTTGTGCCACTTGTAAGGGCAGAAGTAGATACTGAAGAAGCTTCCCCGTCCTCATGTTGATTTTTCTGAGGGCCTCGTTAGGTATCCGGCATTATGGTTCACTAACACCAGCGATTCGAATACAGTGCACGGCGTTCTTGAGAAACTATTGGTGTGACGTTGGTGTCAGGAGTGTTGCTGAAGGCACTGACTGTATCCTGGTATCAGCAACTGATATCACGTCACAGATAGAATGAGTTGTCATATATAAGAGGGAATATTACTTTCTTATCTGGGTAGTGTAAGATAACTCGACTGTACTCTCTCTCTCTCTCTCTCTCTCTCTCTCTCTCTCTCTCTCTCTCTCTTTTGGCTTACTACTTAAGGTGTGTCATTATCTTGGGACAAATAGCAGTAGGTGGTGTTGCTGCTGCGTACTTCTTGTACAGTATACGATCAACACTAGTATTTTACCCAGATACCTGTTGCCGGGGTTAATTACGCCTAAAGCTGTCATGGTGATGTTGACTATAATATCACCGGACGATTGGAAGGGCTCAAGTATATATATATATATATATATATATATATATATATATATATATATATATATATATATATATATATATATATATATATATATATATATATATATATATATATATATATATATATATATATATGTGTGTGTGTGTGTGTGTGCCATGGTAACTATCATGCCAGATGAGGCAATATATGTTTACGATGCATGGCCAGAATTTCTAAAACTCCGCATGTCAAATTTCTCCCCCTACCTGTTAGGTTAGGTTAGGTTGGGTAAGGTTAATTTGAGACGTATTAGACCCCCCCTCCCCCACTCACCTTAACCACTCGAAGGCCAAGTAGCTCCTGAAGAAGAAGAAGGATGACCAGGTGTCAGCTTCGTTCACCACGAAGTGTTGGAAGCCCTGTTGATCATAGCCTCGCTCCCTGGCTTCCTCCTTCCGTAGCTCCAGCTTTCCCTCCTCAGTCACAAACAACATCCTTGCCTGTGCCGCTACGGCAAAGAATATTATTGCTTTCGATTTCTTGAAGATTACCCCCGCCCCCCAACCCCAGTTAATTTCACCTAAAAATAACCACTCTAAACCTAACCTAACGTAACCTTACCTAACCTAACGACCGTAATCTACCCAAAGCTAATTTAACCTAACACTACCCCCCTCCCAGGTAGCGCTAAGGTTGTAAATATTCAGGTGAAGTAAGCTGGGGGGTGTATCTACAGGTAATTAATCTCCAGAGAAATAATTATTGTGCTTGTTTTCGTTTTTCAGTGTCCAAAGTTAACATAGATATTATTGTATACTTATATGAACCACTTACTGTACACTTTACATCTCTACTTTACACTTCACGACTTCACTTTGTACTTTATGACTTTGTATTACACCTTTCACGTCTGTGCACTTTACACTTTTATTTTGTAATTTAAACATCTAATTTGCACTTTACATTTTTTTTTACACATTGCACCACTCACCATTCCTCCACACCTTCACTCACCCTCATCACTCCACCCTCATCACCCCCACCCTCACTCACCCTCATCACCCACCATCATTGCCCCCACCCTCACCACCCTCACTCACCCTCATCACCCCACCATCATTGCCCCCACCCTCATCGCCTCACTCACCCCCACCCTCATCACCCCCACCCTCACACTCACCCTCATCACCCCACCATCATCGCCCCCACCCTCATCACCCCACCCCCATCACCCCACCCCCATCACCCCACCCCCATCACCCTCACACCTCACCACTCACCTGTCACACAGAGTAGTCGAAAGCTCACAAACACAGGAAACACTACACAGCACTTGTAAAACTTCTTAAATGTTCCCCTCCAGTTCCAAGTGGTGAAGGGGGGGCTAGTGGGGTCCTCTTGGCTGGTCATGATGGCCACGGACTTATTTAAGTCAGGAGAGTCCCACAGTACACCCTGTAGCCTTTGCGAGACTCGGGTGTACTGAAGTCTGAACTGCACTGTGGTGAGGGAAGGTAAGTGTGTGTGTGTGTGTGTGTGTGTGTGTGTATGTGTGTGTGTGCATGTGTGTGTGTGTGTGTGTGTGTGTGTGTGTGTGTGTGTGTGTGTGTGTGTGTGTGAAGAAATCACGAATATGACACGTGATAATCATCATGTGTGATTTTGTAAACCACGAAGGAAAAAGAAACTAAAATATTGCTTAAGCGTTTCCCTGGTGACAACTTGTAACTGTGTCAATCGTTGGAGAGTTTTCCCTTGCAGTATCTACATTCAGGAGTGTGACTTTGTGTCATGATCTGTCATTGATGCAGAGTTTGTTTACAAAATATTCACTCCATAAATTCTTTGCTGTAAATTACTTCATTTTAAAATCTTCAAACTCATTAGTCTAAACCAGGGGTCACCAAACTACGGCCCGCGGGCCGGATCCGGCCCGCGACGTCAGTTCATCAGGCCCGCCTTGGTAGCTCCGCCTACGCTCTGACGTTACCATGGTTTCCATGGCTTTCGTTCTGGCTTGCAAGTATTGAACAGAATGATTATGCGGCCCGCGCTCGTCATTCTTTCAGTTATCTGGCCCACTATGAAAAAAGTTTGGTGACCCCTGGTCTAAACAATACCTCTACCCCAGACTCCATCTTTGTTGCAGAGTCCTCCCTTGTATTATTTGCAATTTTTCACACCCCAGAGTCCGTCTATGCATTATATCCATCCCAAAGACCGTCTTTGTTGCATAGTTCTCCCTTGCAATATTCTACACCGCACATGTGAGGGCTTCGGTATTCAGAAAGCTGCAACGTTGCAGGGAAGTTTCACTGTAATGAGTTGACAGAATGCGGCCGAGGTGCGGAGCAACGACACGCACGAGCTGAATTAATTCGATGTTGCAACACAAACAAGTGGTACCGCACCTGAATTTATAACTGAAAGTTAAGCTGAGGGTACTGAGAGAGTTAAGCTGAAAGTACTGGGAGAAAGTTAAGCTGAGAGTACTTAGAGAAAGTTAAGCTGAGGGTACTGGGAGAAAGTTAAGCTGAGGGTACTGAGTGAAAATTAAGCTGTGGGTACTGAGAGTAAGCTAAGGTGGGGGTATTGACTAAAAGTTAAGCTGAGGGTACTTGAGAGAAAGTTGAGGAGCAGTACCGGGATAACAGACCAAATTATACCCCATGGCCACCCTGGGGGCTAGGGTTGCTCTACACCCCCATAAGCTATACAATACACCTCTTTGGCCTTACCTACTGAAATGCAATGATACATAATTTTTGATAGTCAATCATTACTTCAGTATTATTATTATTATTATTATTATTATTATTATTATTATTATTATTATTATTATTATTATTATTATTATTATTAATTCTTACTATTGATGCTTCTTTATTTCCAATAGTAAGTCATAAGAACATAAGAAAATAAGGAGTCTGCAATAGGCCGGTTGGCCTGTGCATGGCAGCTCCTGTCGAGAGTTACAACCACTCTCTATCATCCATGAATCTATCTAGCCTCCTTTTGAAACTTTCCAAAGTTCCAGCACTTACTGCAAAATTGGTAAGCTTGTTCCACTCGTCCACCACAACCAGTTTCTTCCTATCTCCCTCCTAAACCTAAACTTATCCAACTTAAATCCGTTGCTCCGAGTCCTATCCTGCTCGGATATTATAAGAACTTTACCTATATCCCCTTTATTGATTCCTTTCACCCACTTAAATACTTTTATCATATCTCCCCGCACTCTTCGTCTTTCTAGGGAATGCAAGTTAAGTTTCTTTCACCTATCCTGATATGGAAGGTTTCTAAGTCCCGGAATCATTTTCGTCATTCTTCGCTGCACCGACTCTAGTGAATTGATATCCATTCTATAATAAGGGCACCAGAACTGGACCGCATAATCGAGGTGCGGCCTGACTAGCGCAAGATATAGTTGCAATAAGACCTCTGCACTCTTATTACTTACACTTCTAGATATAAAACCCAATACTCTGTTTGCCTTATTTCGAACATTAACGCACTGTTTTTTAGGCCGTAGGTCCAGGCTTACAAGTACCCCTAGGTCTCTTTCACAAGTCGACTTCTCTAGGTTGATGTTGTTAAGGCTGTATACATTGTCAGTATTTGTTCTTCCAATATTAAGTACGCTGCACTTGCTGGTGTTGAATTTCATTTGCCATTTATCAGATCATCCCTGCAGTTTATTTAGATCAGTGGTTCTCAACCTTGTTTGCCCCATGCACCCCTTTCACCATATGTCAGAATGTCATTCCCCCTCCTTTCCAAGATTGTCTGCCTCAAAAAGTGCATTCCAAATAATATGCATATAATACTGAAATTCCTTTATTTTTTCCATATTAGTATCAGTTTCCCCCCCCCCCTGAAAACCTGAGGGGGAAAATTCCCCCCTGGTTGAGAACCCCTGATTTAGATCCTCCTGTAATGCTTTTGCATCCTGCCCTGAATTAATCTGCCGCCCTATTTTGGTGTCATCCGCAAACTTGCTTATGTCACTGCTGATCCAAGTATCTAGATCGTTTATGTAGATTATGAACAAGAGTTGGCCTAGTACTGACCCCTGGGGAACCCCACTGGTTACACGGCCCCACTCAGATTTAACACCATCTATGCTGACCCTCTGCGTTCTATCGGTGAGCCATGATTTTATCCAATTTAAAACTTTCCCCTTGATACCATGAGCCTTAATTTTTCTCAGAAGCCTCTCATGCGGTACTCTGTCAAATGCTTTGCTAAAGTCTAAGTAAATAACATCGTAATTTTCGTCATTATCTACTACCTCGAAGACTTTCCTAAAAAACGTCAGCAGATTTGTTAGACATGGTTTTCCCTTTGAAAACCCATGTTGTGAGTCATAGATTAATTTGCTTTTCTCTAGATGCGATCGGATGCTGTCTGCTATAATTGATTCAAGAAATTTCCCGACTACTGACGTCAAACTGATCGGCCGGTAATTTGACGCTGATGCTCTGTCTCCCTTTTTGAATATACTGTAGGTACTACATTTGCCTGTTTCCACAAGTCTGGCACAACTCCGGTGTCTAATGATTTTGCAAATGAATTTACAAGGGGTCCGCTAATCTGTTCCCGACACTCTTTCAAGACTCGAGGGAAAATTTCGTCCGGCCCTGGGGATTTTGTCTTCTATAGTTTATTTATCCTCTTAAGAACATCCTCTTTTCTGATAGTGATATTCTTTAATTTTTCTTCTTCCTTTCCCCTAGATATCAGTTCCATCTCTGGAATTTCCTCGCGAATTTCTTCTGTGAAAACTGATAAGACGTAGTTGTTCAATGCTTTGCTTATTTCTTCACTGCCATTTATCACTTCTCCCCTCCCTGACTTTAAAGGCCCAAATTTGTCCTTGAATTTTGTTCTACATACCTGGAAAAATCCCTTGGTATTCGCCTTGGATTCTCTTGCTATTTTGACTTCATAGTCTCTCTTTGCTTTCCTTACATTTTTCTTAACATTCCTGATTAGTTCATTATACCTATTTCTGAGCTGCTCCTCCCCTCCCTTTAATTTCTTATAAATTCCTTTCTTTATTCTTATGTCATGTTTAAGTTTTCTAGTCATCCACCTTGGCTCATTCTTACTTGACCTAATTTTTCTGTATGGTATATTTTGTTCTTGTGCTTTATGTAGTATACTAGTGAATATATTACAATCATGATCAATTGTTGTGTCATCTATGACCTCACCCCTTCCTACTAATGACTGACGTGACTGTTCCCAGGTGACCTCACCTAGGTACCTTCTTAATCCCTGATAATCCGCCAACCGAAATTTTGGGACTCTGACCATATTGTCATTGTTTTTTGTTTCCAAATTTAGGGTGAACCTGATTTCTCTGTGATCACTGTTACCTAGTTCTTCCCCTACTGTGATATCTCTGATAATATTTTCTTTATTTGTTAATACTAGGTTGTATTCATACTAGGTCAGTTGTGTTCTGACCTCACTAGGGGAAAGGTCACGGCAGGGTTAGCTCCCGAGGGATAATTATCAGATATGGCCAGTGCTATGTGTGGTCTTGGGTGTGCGAGTTTGTTGACCAAACTGGAGTGGTCCATGGAAGAATTGGCGAGGGCCAAGGAAGAAATTGAGAGGGCCACGTTGGAGAACCTGAAATTAAAGGAAGAGCTGGCGAGGTTAAAAGGGGAGGCGGGACAGGGAAAGCCAGTTTCTGACGAAAACTCAAGTGAGTGGAAGGTTGTGAGGAGAGGGAAGACGAAGCTAGTGGTGAAGAAATACACCAAGGATACGACAACAACGACAACAACAGCTAAGTGTACCAACTCGTTCAGTCCCTTGATAGACGAATTGGACGTTAGTATAGTCAGGGACAGGGATGACAAGGAAGGTATAAAAACTTAAATTGTTGGTGACTCACAGGTAAGGTACATGGACAGGGCCTTTTGTGGTAAGAACAAAAATAGGATGAGGGTGTGTTTGCCAGGAGCTGGGGTGGGGGATATAATTGACAGGATGGACAATATCTTGTCTGGTAATGGGAACAAACCCATTATATACCTCAGTGGAGGAGGCAATGATATTGGCCGGTGTAGGAGCGAGGAGCTTCTTGATAAGTTCAAGGCAGCCATAGATCGTATTAGGTCTAAGGGAGGGATCCCTATCATATGCTGTGTCCTGCCTAGAAGGAGAGTTGGCAGTGAATGGTTGTCAAGGGCGGTTGGTGTCAACGACTGTCTTGACAGATATTGCAAGTCAATATTGGTCCCATTCATTGACAACTGGGACAACTTCTACGGCAGAAGGGACCTTTATGCTAGGGATGGGGTGCACCTGCCTCGGGATAGGGTGGCAACCCTGGCTGGGTCTCTAGAGGTGGCAGTTCAAAGGATATCGAAGTCTTTAAACTGCTAGGGGAACATATGGGCACGGGGTTGGGGGAAACTGCAGTGGGAGCGGGTAAACAAAGTAAAAGATTACAGGGAAATAGTGTTAGGAATGATGAC